GCCGGGGCGGAGAAACGCTGCTCCGCGTCTCCCTGGTCTGCAGACCAGGAAGACGCGGAGCAAAGCCGCAGAGGGGCTGGGGCTGCGGGGCAGCCCAGGCGCGCCTGGGCTGTCCCGCTGCAGGCGTGCTCCAAGGCTTTGCTCCCCGTCTCCCTGCAGACCTTGCTCTGCCCCAGGCTTCCTGGAATCAGCCGCTGATCAGTTTCAGCAGCAGCTGACTTGGGGACGCCTGCGTTTCTTAAGTTGAATCTGTATGTAAGTCAGAACTGGCATCCAGATTCAGCCGCGGTTGAAACTGATCAGTTTCAGCAGCGGCTGACGCCAGTTCCGACTTACATACAGATTCAACTTAAGAACAAACCTACAGTCCCTATCTTGTACGTAACCCAGGGACTGCCTGTATACCAGTGAAATGTTCCAGCCCTAAAGCTTAAGCTGGGCATGCCTGCAAGTTCTTTGCTGCCTGTTGGCGAGAGTAAAAGTCCTTTTATTTCTTGAATTCCGTCTAAAAGAATCCAGACTACCCCTGAAGCAAACCCTGAAGGTTTATTTTTATTGAGGATGAAAGTTTTCTCTGGGTCAAATTATGATTCACCATCCTGTTGCTCTTAGTTCTGCTTCCAATTCTGAATGCTTTAGTGTGGTATCTGTGTCCCACTGACCTTAATACTAGGAGCATTCTTTGTATTTGCTAGAGAGTACTTAGCAGTTTGCCATCCGTTTCCTTCTTCCTGTGAGAAACCCGGTCTTCCATGATTGATCTGAGTACTTGGGAGATGGGCCTAAGCCATAGAGGCTGAGGTGAAGTTTAGGTTTTCGTTCAGCCCCACAATATCGAGACTTCAGAATTAGGGCTCTTTTTAAGACAACTCTATAAAGAGTTTACTTAAAATGTCCCATTTCTGTGCAGTTCTTTTCCCCGACTGGCTTGGTTTAGGACCACTTTTCTAAATGTATTACCAGTTAGGCAGAGAGAGAACTTGGTATCTGGCAGTGCTCACTCCACAGTCCTGTCCCCAGAAATGTTCTGTGTATCTAGCACGTGACTGACATTGGAAGAACACTGCTACAATCTTGAGCTGAGTGTAGCACGGTGCAGGCAGTGCCCAGCCCCTTCTGTGTGGGATGCAGGGCTCCAATGATAAGCACGTAACATCCTTCGCATTGGGAAATGTGAGTGTTCTCCCTTGCTGCCTTCCCCCAGGGCTCCAAGCTAATTGCATCCTCTCCTCCCTAATTTTGACTCTTCCCGTGAAGGCTGCTGTCAGTACTACAGAGCAGACTTGCTGGCGGCTGGTTGCGCTCCCCCCACACTGCTAACTGGTTTTCATGTGGGAGTCTACAGTTATGCTGTTTAGGCAAGAGCTGGATAAGGATCAAGAAGCAGTCTGGCATCCAGGCACTTTTGCCACTCCCTTGGCAGCATTTGCATGTGTATTAATTGGTGCCAGGCTGTCCCTTCCACCTTGGTGCTGAAATGGCTCCTTGGAAAAGCTTTGGGCGAGAGGGGCCCAGAGGAGCTTTCTGAAATACCTTTGCATGCCAAGAGGGTGGGATGTTCCAACTCTTCCAGCCTCCTCCCTTGGCTTAGGTGTGCCACACTCAGCATCAGCCTGCATTTGAAGGGTGAGCATGGGAAAGAAAGTGTGCAGCATGGGGATGGGGAGAGGGGAATAGAAAATGGATGGGGTGGGGAGGGAAGCTGCAAAGAACGGAGGGAGAAAAAGAGCCAATGTTCCCTCTAATCTTTTCCATCCATGTGCAGAATAAATTTTTTGTGATGTGCACCAATATGTATGAAAATATGCACCACCAATAGAAACACAAAACCTACCTGTGGGTGCTCTAATCAGCTGGGCAGCATTGGAATCTCTCCTAAGTGGCATCACAAGCGCACAGCTCACCAGGAGCACTGCCTGCAACAGACTCTGGTGTATAACATGTATTAACGCAGGAGGTAGTGAAAGTTCAGGGCTCCTTTCCCGGCTACTGGCTGTGTGTGACCTTGTGTTGGGCAAGTCACAGAGGCCTTCTGATGCAAACTCCCAATGTAGATTCAATATGTCAATGTCTTGGTAAGCCCCACACAAGCAATCCCCTTTCTGAATTGGGGCAGGTTGTGCCTGCGAGAGGTTTGCACTGGTCTCACTACCACAGAACAGCCTCTGACAGCGTTTCCCAAACTACGGGCTGTGTCCCGGTACCGGGCCACGGGAAAAATAATACCGGGCCTCAGTGTGGCTGCCAGGGTGTTCCGGGCTCACAGACTGCCTGTGCAGCGCTGGGTCCCCCAAGTCCTCAGCCGGGCTGGGTGGATGCAGCCGTACGTTTCAGGCTCCCGGCAGAGGTATAGTGAGGGTTACCAGGTGAGTTCTTATTGCTGGCTGCCAGGGGATTTGGATATGGGCCGCAGGGAAGCAGGGTTGGGGCAGTGGAGCTGCCCGGGGGAGATAGGGAGGGGAACCGGCGGGGGGGGGGACGGCGG